GCGCGCCCGGCGTCGGCAAGCTGGCGCGCCGCGCCGCCGGCCGCCGCAAGCGCAAGGAGTCGACCGTCGACAAGCGCCGCAAGGCGTCGCTGCTGCGCAAGCTGAGCAGCAAGCGGGCCAGTGCCGAGATCCAACAGGCGAGTGGCGGCTGGCGGCCGGCGGCCAGCGGCCCCTGCCATGTCCGGCATGGCGGCTCAGGCGGGTCGCGGCCTCGTCAGTGGCGAATGGTTATATGCATAGTGAATTTTACTCGATATAAGAAAGAAAGGCCCACAACTTTTGGTTTGTCGGTTTGATGAGATTAAAGTTCTTACGCTGAGGTAACAACTTTTAATTTACCAGGAGGCACTAGTTAAACGACTCAATAGTGCTAAGCAACGATTACTTTGGACATAATAAATATTTCGAGCTGCGCTCATCTTCAAGAGTGACAAGGGAACCCTCATGATGGAGGAGTGCTTGTCAAAGGGGGTACACTTCAAACTCAAACTTCAAACTCAAACTCAAAACTTCAAAAGAACTTCAAACTCAAAGTGGGGTGAAATGTTCACTTCAAGAATGCTAGCGATGCTAGCGCCTTTGGCTATTGTGGATTGGCAGCGGACATGTTGTGGGGTGGTCGTTGCCGTTGGTATCTAATTGAAGGCGTGAGTTGATCTTTGACATTTTGTAGAGGCCCATTATATAGTGTTATCGGAAGTTGTCCTTATGTTCCGTGCATGTGGTTTCACCCGTGATACAGAGCTACATCTTTGTCCACTATGGGTGTTGTGAGTCTACTAATCTGATCGTTAGAACCTCAGTGCTTGTTTGTACCCGCGTTTGTACCGTATATATATATATATATATATATATATATATATATATATATATATATATATATATATATATATATATGTGGGTGTGGGTGTGGATGTGGGTGGGTGTGTGCGTGTGTGGGTGTGTGTGCGTGTGTGGGTGTGTGTGTGCGTGTGTGGGTGTGTAAATTCAGGTAATAGGTGTTGCTGTTTGCACGTTTTTTAAAAAAAATTCATAGCAAACTAGCATTTGGCTATTTTTCCCGATAAATTTCGACACGCTGCTTCTGTATTCATACAAACGTGGGTGCAGACGAAGCACCGAGCGTCTAATGATCAGACCAGTAAATTCGCAGCACGCATAATGGTCAAACGTGCGGTTGTTGTCCTCATTTATGGCCATTTCGGACCAGGTTGCTGCGGCTCGTCCCTATTTTGGGCCCAGCTCGGCCTGCTGTGTGTGGCTGGCGGGCGAGACGCTGACCGCCGGCCGTCTCCCTCCGGCAGATGACGGCCACTCGCCAATGCTGACGCCCAGCCGCAGCTTCTCGTCACTGAACCGGTCCGTGTCGTGCGAGCCCGGCTCGGCGCGCGCCGCCGCCCCACAAACTCAGCCAGTCAGACTCGTCCAATTCGTCGTCGCCGTCGTCCTCGGTGCCCAACTCGCCGGCGGCGGCGGCCGTGGCGGCAGCCCAGTTCCAGCCGCGCCCCTCCTCCCTTCACGGGCTCAAGCACAAGCTGCACGCGGCCACCAAGTCGGCGCACGCGGCCAGCCGCCGCAAGTCGGTCGGCCACATACCGTTGAGCCCGCTGGCGCGCACGCCGTCGCCCAGCCCGCTGCCCGTGTCGCCGACGCGCTCACCCAGCCCGCTGGCCTTCCCCACCGCGCACGCGCCGGCCCCGCCCACCAGCGCCGTGCAGTCGTACAGCCCGGGCGCGGCCAGCCTGGCGCCGACGGCCGCCGCCAAGGCGTACATGCGGCCCAAGTCGGCCGAGCCGGGCAGCCCGCTGTTGCGGCGCGCGCTCTCGCCGGACCGGCTGCACCGCTCGGACGGGCGGCCGTCCATCTCGCCGCTCGTCTCGTCGCCGCCGCCGCGCGTCACCGTTACGGCTCAGTCGCCGCCGCCGACGGCCGACGGCGCGCTCACCTCGTCGGACGGCGGCGCCAGCCCCGAGCTGGCCGGGCGCCGGGTGCGCGTGCAGCCGCACTGCCGCCACCACCGGCGGCCGGGCACGCCGCGCCGGCCGGCCACACCGCCGGCGCCAGCCGCCGCGCCCGACGCCGCCGCGCGCCCGCCGCCGGCGCGCGCCGCCGAGCCGCTTGTATACGTGTCGACGGTGACGGTGCGGCCCCGCTGCCGACGGTGGCGGCGGCGGCGGCGGGCGCCGCTGCCGGCGAGCGACGGCCCAGCAAGGAGCGCGGCCGGCGTCGGGAGGGCAGCGTTCGCCGCCGGACGGGCGCCCGCCGCCCGGCCCGATCCGGAAGAGCCGCCGCCGCCACCGCCGCCGGCCGACGCCGGCAAGCGCTCGGCGCACGAGAAGCGCAGCGCGTTCCGCAACACGGTCTCGGGCAAGGACGAGGATGCGGCCGAGCCGTAGGCGCCGCGCCGCGCTGCCTGCTCCTCCAGTGATTCTGTCATGTGATATCTTAGCGGTGACTCTGTTCTGTCCACTCGCCCTCGCGCGCAGGTGTATTTATTTGTGGCTCGCTGGCCGACCGGTCCGCCGGCAGCGGTCGTCTCGCCATAACGCCACGTGCAGTCGTGTCGCCGAGACGCGTCATAATTCGCTGCTCTTATCGTCCCAATGTCTCCCGGCAACATGAGGCAGCGGCCCAACATCTCGTTGTCGGGACTACTCAGCTAGTTGTGGTGTCGGTAGTGTCCAGGTCTGGCGCAAGTGGCAGCGCGGCCGTGCGGCGTCCCGTGCGACTGCGCCCGATCATGTGGTTAATTCCCATTTGCGGCCAGCCTGGCGCAAAGCGGCGTCGCTCATTCACTAATGTGACTGTGGCAGCGGCTGCGCGTCACCTGCTAGCGTCGGCCGCTGAGAGCGTCGCTCTGGCGCGCGGACGCCGGGGATCACGGGCGCTCGCCCGCGGTCCCGCCGACAGCGGGCGCCACGCCTCCAGGCGGCACCGCGGACGGCTGGCCGTCGTTGGGCCCGCGCCGGCCGGACTGTTCGGTTTCTTGGTTTGACGTTGGCCGGTGCGGTGTGACGTCGCGGAGTTGCCGTTCATTCTTGCTTTCATCGATTTCATCTGGATTCGTGTCGACTCATCGTGGCCTGGCCCCTCCGCGAGCTGGCGATTGATTGTAAATATACCGCACTGTCTATGGATGCCGGTTGTTATGGTCAAGCCATCGGATATCATCTTGGCGTTGATTGACGTGCGTTAGGCCCGCCCTCCGTCACGCCCGAGTTGGTCAGTGAGCTGGGTCAGTAATGTCTTGGGATCACTCATTTGAAGGGTGGTAAGCATCAAAGTGGTGGAAGTGTAACGTGTGCGGCGCCTGGGTGTCGCGAAGACGACGCACTGGCACAGTAGGTGACAAAACCCCGCGAAGGCTTCCAGCTGAGGAAACGCGCGCTATCGCCGACACACGCCGAACCCATCGGTGACCGAATGCGTGTCACTCGAGGTCCACGTCTCTGAGTTGGAGGGGTGGGGGGGGGGGGGGGGAACTCAGTGTTGTGGGGGTCAAAACTAGATATGCCGGAGGGCTGACATAAAGATGACGTGAGGCGGAAACGCAGAAAACGCACTTTATACAGGCGAAACCAGGGGGAGACGAATGCAAAACGTCGTAAACATGGGAGAGGAAGTGAAGTGAAACAACTACGGGGGACGTAATCTCGTAGGTGGTGCTACCAGAACAATGCCAGATGTGGGACCTGGGTAATTTAGCCCGAAGGCGGAAGTGTAGTTTCCTGCTCAGTAGGGGGGAGGACTCCCTCAACTTTGAGAAGAAATTGTTCGAATTCTGGTGAGAAACCTATTTGTTGGCGTACTTTGGAGGTATGTTTCGATATTTTCCACTGCCCAGATCCCTTGCACACACCCACACGCGCGCATACACACACACACACACACACACACACACACACACACACACACACACACACACACACACACACACACACACACACACACACACACACACACACACACACACACACACACACACACACACGCGCACGCACATCTGCAAATGTGTATGTTGCGAGGGAAGCGTTTATATCTACAGATGAGTGCTGCTGCTACTCAGAAGTGCTACTCAGAGCCGCACCTCTGCCTAAATCCACTATGTGGTGGGCATACACAGAATGTGCTCTTGTGTAAATCGACTGAGATCTGAGTGGATTTTGATTGAGAAGCGTCACTCATGACGCAATACACACGGAAGAACCGACCCGCCTGCATCGTGACGTGATGCACATATGTTAACTGCATCGTGACGTGATGCACACATATGTTAACTGCATCGTGACGTGATCTACACATGACACAGAGTGTATGCCACAGGGCTGTTAAGGCACCCATATGAAATCGGACCAGGTCTCAGCTACAGGCTGCTGCATGCACGTCAGCATCGTTTCAGCGCGACATTATCTAGGTTGGTCCTGTGTAGGGTATGGATGTCAGGCGTTTGATTCTGCGCACGACTGCAGAACGCACCGGCTTGGACACAGCGCCCGACAACGACATGCGTGTTGCAGCCGGGGCATTTCGCACCAGCTCTATCGTCAGCCTTCTTAGCGAGGAGTGCGAGTCACCGACAGGTCTCCGCCGCGAGATACTCAGCTCGCGCTCTGCCCTACAGATTGTACAGTTCGAGACATATTCAGCCCTTCGAAGCATCTGCTCAGACCACTTAATTCAGCCTTTCACGACAGGCAGAACGCTTGCCGCCAATCTCATCGGTGTACCAGTCAGAAGAAGCCTGCAGGATGCGGACATCAGTATAAGGGACGCCGCCTCAGTGCCACTCATCATCGCGCGTGGAATTTCGACTCGGTCCCGTGAGGGTAAATGTTTCTGCTTCAGTGCCGATGAACTCTGACCTTTGGGCTCCTTAGCTCCAGGCGAAGAACCTAACAGAGGGCGGAGTTACTGCTCCGACAACCAATCACATGCCAGCTTACCGGATCGCCCGATCCGAGCGCCGCTAGCGTTGCCCCCTCACTGTGTTCGGCGCCGGATGTGTGGTTATTGCAGGGCGTGTGCGGTTTGCTCCCGCCGTAAGTGGACCGAAGCAATGAATGCTTCTCGGGGACGGCAGGTGGTGTCGGCGGACACCTCGCGACGATCTTGAGCTTACCGGAGCTTCACCATCGATTACATCCTGAATGAACCTGGGACGTCTCCCGCCAGTACCAACGGCAGGCAGGCAGACTTCTCCAGTCTGCAGCCGGCGTCGGAGCGGCGGCAGCCCACCGGCAGTGCTGACCTAGAAGAGTTCACCACGGCTGGAGACCAGGGTGACGCCGAGTCAACTACTGCACGTGAGCCAGCCGCCATCCCCAACACCTGTACCAACACCGGTATGGACAGTCCAGTGTCTGTCAATTATTGACTGCCGTGATCTCGTAATGGCCTTAAAGAGATTGTAGTCAAGTTGTGTACTTGAGCAGGAGGCATGCCCACGAAATACACTGTGTGTGAATTGTTTTGTGACTTATCGCCATCTAACAGGCCCACTGAGGCCAAACACGGCACTCGTCTGCAATTTATTCGCCATGCAGAACACTATAGCCAGGCAAAACATGGCTGAATTCATTTCCTCATCCCATTTAAAAGGCTGCTTGAACAGGGTCATAGAACGTCGACAGTAGTGAAGGTCGTGAATAGCGACTAGTGACTCTGGTAGTAAAAAGCTAAGCCTGATTTTTGGGTCGATTTTTGCAGGGCATGACCACAGGAAAATGCACTGCAAGATTGGCGAAGCCAGTGTACACGACTATTCAGCAGTCGACAGTCGCCTTCTGTTGAGCAGTGCTGCCACGCCGACGTGCGTCAGCTTCGTATTGCGCGGATTACAAGCGGGGCCTCAGAGCCAACGAGACTGGCGTGGACCGTGGTACTTTTCAGCTTCGGCGACTCTGTCCAGCTTAGTTCGGCCCAGCCTTCTCTTTTTCCACCAGATCATATTATGGAATGACTAGCCGCGGGAGTGTGCAGTTAACCAGGAGAAAAATCACCAGAGGGCATTGGAAGCGGTCTGCCGGGCCTCCTACCAGCCGCGCGTCATCTGCCGGCGGGTGGGCCGTCTCACACGGGACGATGCCGTCAGCCGGTGCTGTCGTGCCTCGGTGTCAGCCTATCCGGCCGCGGTCCAGACCCCCTATGATCAGCTGCCGGCGCCAGCCCTGCCCTGGACGGCGTCTTACAAGACGTACTGAACACGGCGCGGGCAGAAGACGGCGCCGGCACACAACGACGCCTGCCTCAACGGGTGAGCCCGCGGCGACAGCGCGCTGAGGAGAGAAATCTCGACTTCCGAGTTCAGGTTCGCATTTCGTTGCTTGTTCGCCTCGCATTTATTCGTCATCATGAAGCCGACGCCGCTCAATCTATGTGCTTCCATTGAACGTCATCAGCATTCAGGTAAATTTTACAGCAGGGCTGAGCTGATTTGCGCGAGTGTGATAACATGTGACACCCGCTCTGGTTTCACGACCCTTCCATTGCGACAGCTGTTGGCACGACGGTAGCTGGGATTCACAATGTCAGGCTCTGCAATTAGAGTGCGTGCTGGGATTCACAATGTCAGGCTCTACAATTAAAATGGGTGCTGGGATTCACAATGTCAGACTCTACAATTAGAGTAGGTAATGGGGTTCATAATGTCGGGCTCTACAATTAGAGTGGGTGCTGGGATTTACAATGTCAAACTCTACAATTTGAGTGGGTGCTGGGATTCACAATGCCAGGGTCTACGATTAGACTGGGTGCTGAGATTCACAATGTCAGGCTCTACAATTAGAGTGAGTACTGGGATTCATAGTGTCAGGTCTGTCCGTCACCGACTTGCTTCCTCAGCTCTCTGGACCGCTTCAAGTGCACGATGTGTGAGAGGACGGGCTTCATCAATAGCGACCAACTGGCGCTCCATATTACGTCACGTAGTGCGGAGGCGTCGCGTCAGAGCCGCTGCGTCATTTGTGCGGTTGGCTTCCGTGCGGCACAGCAGCGGCCGAAGCGCGTGGGAGGCTCCCAGCACAAGGTACGCGGCCAAAGGTGGTGGCAGGTGTCGCCCGAAGCATTGAGGGCGCTCGCTGCGGCTTGCTTCATCGCTCCTCGACACCAGTCGAGATTGTAATGTGACTGTATGGCACCACCGACCCGATCCGGCCCTGGCCTCGGTTCCCGGCCGACTTTTGCTCACCCGTAGAGGAGGAGGCCACTGACTGAGGGGAGGGGCGCGTTCCCCCGTATCATTAGGTAGGGGTTGGGACAGTCCTCCCAATGTCAACAGCCTCCTTACTGGGAAAGTATGTTGTTTGCGTGTGTTGCGTTTAGGGACCGAGGTTTTCTCCTGAATAAGGGCCCATCACATCCACTAGCACTGAATTGCGAACTAGACGACGTTTAGGGGGGGGGGGGGGGGGGCTATCCGAATGACCACCGAGCGGCGTTCCCGAGATTGCTCGGATGTGTTCAACGTCTTCAGTCCAGTGCCTAGGGTTGAAGGCGTATGAGAGGTGACTGGATCATCGCGTGCCTGGAAAAACGTGTATATTAGATAGTTCTAGAAAAAGTGAGACCCGATGATGTGCAGTTTTGCATACTTTTCATTTTGTCTCCGAGTGCGAGTTGTGTTTGTAATGCTGTTTATATACTGTAACGTTGTTTGTACAAGTTGTGTTTGTATAGCTCTGGTTCAATGTCAGTCGAGTGTTGAACATCCCTTCCTCTCTCGTGCTTGGCCTTACACGATAGCCTTGGACCGCAAATAGATGGTTTTTGGAATATAGGTACCTTGAACGATATCGCCATCATAAAATATGTTTTTTCCATGTCCGCCGAATGCGAAAAATTTAAAGGACAATTAGTTTTTATTGAGCTTGCAGTTCCATCACACTGAAGTTATACCTATCCTGAGAGGGGGTATTTTCGTATTAACATTATCGCTTTGAACATTTCGTCACATGGACAATATCAACAGATTTCAGTGATGAAGGTCCTATCTAAAAGAAAGACAGAGCCCAGGCCTGGATTGGCCAGGGGGATGGGGCGGGGAGGATCTGTCCCCAAGAAGGCTTCTTGAGCTAAGCAAAAAATAAAAATATAAATGGTGGAATGCAGCGCGCAAGAGCTTTCGGCACCTTCGATTTTATATGTTTCACACCCGTGTGCATGTTCTAAGCTCCCAGCAAGTTAGATCATTGGCTGAGGTCTTGACCGAAATGGAACTACAAACATGTTGTAACCATCATCATTTATTAACATATGGACAGATTTTGACGACATCTATAGGTGTCGTGTCATGTGTTGTATGCATTCGACATGTTTGTTGTAAGATTACCTTAGTGTTATCCAAAACAAATCGTCCATCTTTCTATACTAATTTGACCCTGGTCTCGACTTACTGATTTTGACCTATAATGACCTCAGTATTGATGTATACTCTTTTGACACATTGTTTACCTGTATTTGACAGAAGGTGACACCGCATTTTGTTAGAGCCGTCTCCTAAACAGTTTTCCTCCATTGTCTTCGAGCGCGGTGTTTGTAGCGTTTGGGTCTGCGAAAATACCTTCCCCCGGGCGCTAGGCTGGAACCACGGGCTCGCTCGGGTTGAGGCATTTGCATTTCATACGGATGAACATGGAGACTGGTTTCAGACTAAACTTGCGAAAATGTCTGGATTTTCAGGTTGGGTTATCACGGACAAAGATACCTTTGGAACGCAGATAAATAAGCGTTGTTTGGAATAGGTACCTTGAATTAATTCGTCATTATCATTATGAATATTACAATAAAAGATAGAATATGTGCTATACATGCATGCTGGGGCTTTTTTCTTCGAACGGGAACAAGAAGATGAGGTATTTTATATGCAGCTTTTGCTGCATATTTCGTTGTCTTGTGCTATGAGCGAATGTTTTTCGTCATACCGTCATAATGATCAAGCTGGGCCTACCTAGAAATGAAGTGCAATAACCTATGCTTGACTAATGACTGTCCGCCATGCACAGCCCAGTCGCGGATGATGAGCCAGCCCCCCCCCCCCCGCGTCGTCTAACTTACGAACGGTTGACAGCAGGGTGAAAGCAAGGAAATCGTTGAAAATGCTGTCCTGAGTAGAGCTCGAAACATACCGTATTGAATGTATTGTTTGATATTTCACCATTACAGGGCCTTACAGTTCATAGCGGAATTCCTCCCAGAGAACGTACTCTACCAGCGCTGGTTGAATTGCAAAGAACCTACTGCAGCTTCTTGGCGCCCTCGTCAGCTGTGGTGTCTACTCGCCAAGCATTTCGGGTCGGAGCACTTCCTTCCAAATGTTCGGCAGTATATATTGTACCAGGTGTCCATGCGGCATGTTGTACTAGTGATGCAGTGTACCGACAATATGTCATTGACTGGCCTACTGTTCATAAGTGACCAGCATAATGTCCATAGCATGTTGTCATCCAGAAAAAAGTCGACATTTACATTGCCTACGTAAACCTATCATTTCTACCTGAGCAAGCGAACTCGAAGTGGCAGCAGTTACTTGGCTAGGTCAGTTACGGTGAATCACGAAAGCAGTTACTTGGCTAGGTCAGTTACGGTGAATCACGAAAAGCACAGACGAGTGCATTTTGTCTACATACCATAATATATTTAGCTTGCTTGCGAGGTAACTTACTCGACGACGAAAAAACGCGCAGCTCCACAATGTGATGCAATTTCCCCCAGGGTGAGGCAAATTGTCCCACGTAAAGGGAGGACATTAAGAATTAATATACCAAAAACCGAAGACATGCTCTCCAAAACCTTACGGCCACGTATGAAGCTGGGGTTATAGCTGTCTGCAAATATGATAGTCCTCGCCAGTTATAGCAGGAGGTAACTCAGGGTAAAAACACGTATGACCCTCCCTAGCCCCCGAAATAAATGTCTCTCTCCCATTCAGGTAAAGCTAGGAATCCGTGCCTACCTACATAGCGGCAACTTAACGTGCGTTTCGATTTAATTCCTTTACGTGGCAACATTTCGCTCAGCTCATCTGAAGAGACTTCCATTCATCCATTTCTTCACTGTCAAGCCCCTAGGATGTTTGTTCCTGTTCGCGCAGAAGCTGCGGGTACCCACCCTAGGGGGGCACCCAGGGGTGGCGCCACCAGGGGCAAGGGGTCAGCCGCCTTCTTGTACGCCAAGAGGAAACAAACAAACAAAAATATATAGGTTCTCCTTGAAATTTAAGGAGGCTCTAACTGACCGACAGAAGGCAGCAAACGAACGGGACATGTATTGCGTGCTTGAACAGTCTAGAGAGTTGTGTAGGAACTAGCTCGTTCGGCGCGGCGCTAACGCAGCGGGCCCGGGCAGCCCGTGGCAGCCAGTGCGGCAGTCGCGCAGTCTGCGCGGTCGGCGGAATGCGCTGTCCACATGGTGCGAATGGAAGCCCCGGAGCACTTTCCAGAATCCGACGAAGCCACCGTTGTTTGGGTCCGGGACCTGTTTGCGTATGCCCCAAACAACCCATGACTGGCTAGCACACCGAACGCAAAAGCCAAGCAACCCACATTTGGAGTTAAATGTTCGGTTGATTACGCATTACGAGACAGCTCCTTCCATACTCATATCTCAGTTTACCAGCTCGTTTTGGTCGGACCGTATGCAATGTATGCAATACAGAATGCAATGCGTGCATGCTGTGGCACTGTGGCACCGTGTGACACATGACACATGGCACTATTGTGATTCGGCACTTCGCGCCACGATAGCGCTGTGGTTCGTGGTAATTAGTCGTTGGTGATACGCCACTGGGATGTTGTGGACACGATCACGAAAGCAATAAACTTATTTAGCGAAACCTTTCAGCACCGGCATGCTCCATTGTCACATTCGACGAGCTTACCATCACAGCGCCACGTGCCGACATGCGTGGAACCGCGCTGGCCGGGCGAGCGCGCCGTGGTGCGACGGATGCGGAGGCCCCGTGGCCGACCGGTCTCCGGAGCATGTCGGAGCACTCCGATCCTGAGGATCACCGACTGCTACTTCGGCAGCCGGCCCTGCTGCAAGATAGTGCATCAGCTTTGTGCGGGACTCGGAGCACCTTTCTGCGGCCGTCGTGTCTGCGTCCGGGCGCAGAATGCACTCTCAGAGCACCTGTCTGTGGCCGTCGTGTCTGCTTCCGGGCGCAGGATGCACTCTCAGAGCACCTGTCTGGCCGTCGTGTCTGCGTCCGGGTGCGGGAGGCGCTCTCAACTTGCCACCCGCTTATTCAACCCTGGTCGGGCGCCAATATTCAGAACAGTTTGGAAACGTGACAACGTAGCTGGCTGGGCCGGTCTCCAGGCACGGTGTCATCCCGCAACAAGCCTTCTCGTCGGTGCTCGGCGCCTCGATCGAGCTGAATGGATACGCAAGGAGCATAATTGTTGCGAGGTATTGCACTAACCAATGGAGCAAGCACTAAAACACGCTAAAATATAAACACATTCAAAATGTAAATGCCGGCGTATCGAGACCCCTGATGTGACTGATGATTTGAGCCGGGTATAAAACGCTTGGCGGGTGTTTCATGAGGCATGAAGGCTCTCGTGACGTTTGTTTGACTTGAAGTGGGAAAAAAACACCGCATATTGCATAAATAGAGGGGAAATGTGGCAATGCTGCCTACAAATACAACTTATAAATCGGACACCATGACATGTTACTCTAAGCTAGTTCCTCCCTGGCGCTGGTCAGCCCTGCAAACCCTTTGGCGCATGTCCCACAGGGCAGATGGCGGAGGTCCTAATGAGCCTGGCGCCGCGGATTGCGGATGGGGGGGGGGGGGAGGGAGGGTGGCCAACCAGATGTAGAGGGCGCCTCAAGCTGAAGAGAGGCGGCGGTCACCCAGATGTAGGGAGCGCCGCGGGCTGAGAAGAACGTGGTGGTCACCCAGGTGCGGAGGGCACCGCAGGCTGGGGAGGGACGGCGGTCACCCAGATGTAGAGGGCGCCGCGGACTGAGGAGGGGTGGTGGTCACCCAAATGTAGATGGCGCCACTGGGAGGGTCAGTGTTGTTCCCCGCAGCGGTTGGTGGACGTGATATTCCAGGAATTCCCGCTTCATTGGCAGCTGTTTTTACACTATCCGAAGAAACATGTCCCGCGGAGTGTCGACACGGTGGCCTGGTACGATGATGTTGATGACTGGGGTCTCAGGACGTGCCGACTACCAGACCATTCTGTGGCACACAGAAACAGCGATGAAACATTATGAGGTCTTGGGCTGGTTTCACTTGCGTAAGCCGGCCTGGATGGGGCTTATGGGGCATTTAACGCGATAACCTGGCAGTCGGGCTACGGTTGTCTGTTGATGCGGCTCGCGCTGTCGTTCCTCAGACAGGAAAAATAATGATCATATTGTTTTACCTTCAACACAATATTGTCATTGAGGAGAGATAATTCGTGTGACGTTTCTATGATGTCATACATATATGGATTAATTCCAGTTAAGCGACGCAAAATAACCTGCACAAGATCGCGCACGCCTAGCTGAGAAACACGAGGAGCTAAAGTATTAGAGAATGGCAGAGGTGTGAACTGCAGCGGATGAACCTTTAAATGACTATTTCGGTTCAAAAACCCTAAAGGTGGGATACGCCTTTAATGAGCACCCCGGAGACGCACATCTGCGGAGGGCGTATACAACACTAGGTGTAAACATGGCACCCTCGAGCGTGACAAGTGATCCTAGTGCAAGCCATATTAACCTTACTATGTTATTTCAGCAACAGCAAAACACAACACAGTTCACAAGATATTATTATTGCTCCACGTCGGTAGCTTTTGTCTGAAGCCAAGCACACAAACGTCGTATTGTGACTTGATTTGAGCAACGTCGTATTGTGACTTGATTTGGGCAACGTCGTTTTTGTCATGCACGAATAGGAGCAGCGCTCTGCTCGTTGAGGTGGATACGGATGCCCGCTTACAAATTTCGTTCTGTCTGTGCTCCGCACGTGTCACTGAAACCTTTTGGCTTCATCACATGTGTTTCGGACAGCCCTTAGCACCGTGCCGTGCGTTGGGACGTGAAACCTAGACGACTGAAATGCTCGTGATATTCGGACAATTTATTAAAAGTATGATGCTCGTGGTAAGCCTCCATCTGAATTTATGCTCGGTACCTTACACACAACTTCAAGTGGCAAACCATATACGCTTCAAACCAGGAAGTATCCGCTTAAAAAAAAATACCAATATATTGCAGGTCACGTTTTTGCTTACGTAAGCCCGTTGCTACGTTATTGAAAAGCTGTCACCTTTTCTACGGAATCTCAGCTATAGTGAAAACTTGTATCCTAGTATCCCAGTAGGCAATTCTATTCCTAGGCATTCTAGCATCTAAGACTCACCTGTTTTGTTTGAAATACAAAGATGTTACCTTGCATTACTCTGTGGACTTCGGTAACCCGTCACGTTTTTCAGAGTCGCAGCCTGTCAAAGTGTTTGTCGCGAAAAACGAATTGAAGCTACGTAGCATGGTGGGGCAGACCGTTCCTGGAACAGATGCGGAGATAGGAATTATGCTGAACGACGAGCATGTTGCAATTTATCACAGAGCCAGATGTCTTCAGATACTTATGACATTATCTGTACATCAAGGAAAATTACCGTGTCAACGTTAAGCATTGTAGCATGACTTCTAAGAGATGAGATATTGTAATATACCACGAATGATTAAAATAGCAGCAATCCAACATCATGTTTCAGCGACAAGCTAAATGTATGCATATTACTATGAAGCATGGAGGATAGCATTTATACACTATACACTGGCGCATGTAAATGTACTGTTGCCGATTTTTACATTCCGTTTAAGTAGAGAAAGTTGCATGCAAGTTGTATTTTTATGTAGCGGGCCAGTGAGACTAAGATGAAGCACATCGATTCGGATATTATTATTCCAATGGCTCGACGAAGCAACCCATCAGATCGAAGCAAGAGTCTTAACATTTCAAACAATCGAATACCAAATGTCCTGCTGTAGTGCCCCTGTGGTAGCGGGGAGCGTGCTGATAGTGTCCTGCTGTGGTGCCTCTCTGTGGCAGCGGGGAGCGGGCTGATAGTGTCCTGCTGTGGTGCCCCTCTATGGCAGCGGGGAGCGTGCTGATAGTGTCCTGCTGTAGTGCCTCTCTGTGGCAGCGGGGAGCGTGCTGATAGTGTCCTGCTGTAGTGCCCCTCTATGGCAGCGGGGAGCGTGCTGATAGTGTCCTGCTGTGGTGCCTCTCTGTGGCAGCGGGGAGCGGGCTGATAGTGTCCTGCTGTAGTGCCTCTCTATGGCAGTGGGGAGCGTGCTGATAGTGTCCTGCTGTGGTGACCCTCTATGGCAGCGGGGAGCGGGCTGATAGTGTCCTGCTGTAGTGCCTCTCTATGGCAGTGGGGAGCGTGCTGAAGTGTCCTGCTGTGGTGCATTTCTATGGCAGCGAGAAGCGTGCTGATAGTATCCTGCTGTGGTGCATTTCTATGGCAGCGAGAAGCGTGCTGAGAGTGTCCTGCTGTGGTGCCCCTCTCTGGCAGCGGGGAGTGTGCCGACAGTGTCCTGCTGTAGTGCCTCTCTATGGCAGCGGGGAGGGTGCTGATAGTGTCCTGCTGTAGTGCCTCCCTATGGCAGTGGGGAGCGGGCTGATAGTGTCCTGCTGTGGTGCCCCTCTCTATGGCAGCGGGGAGCGGACTGATAGTGTCCTGCTGTGGTGCCCCTCTATGGCAGTGGGGAGCGGACTGATAGTGTCCTGCTGTGGTGCCCCTCTCTGGCAGCGGGGAGTGTGCCGACAGTGTCCTGCTGTAGTGCCTCTATGGCAGTGGGGAGCGGGCTGATAGTGTCCTGCTGTGGTGCCCCTCTCTGGCAGCGGGGAGTGTGCTGACAGTGTCCTGCTGTAGTGCCTCTCTATGGCAGCGGGGGTCGCTTTCTTGGTCTGAGCAACTACTTTAAAACATTTAGTTGACTACTTGACATCGATATCTTCATGTTTTTTTCATATTTTATTTCGCCACAATGCTGCCACTTGTCACTCGCCACTGTATGTCAAAATTGCTCAACTGCGGTTATCAACGGACAAATAGAAGAAGTAGCACAGCGTTGTATTTACTGGCACGGAAAGCCTTCAGATTACGTCAGGTAGGAACATCAACACCAGATGCATCAAATTATTTTAATTTTAACAGTATAGCCCGGCGTTTTGGCACATGAGACTCAATACAACGGCCCGGCGCGTTAATCGACGGAACCAAGTGACCGAGCAGTCACCGGTGGCATCGACGGCAGGAGTCACGTGTTTCTCGCACAGAAAATGCGAGCATATGGCACAGGTAGACCGGTTCCAGCAACTCTGATGCACAAAGCCCAAGACAGTAAGCGCCGCCACATGATGTGCGTCATGAGCAGGGAAGTTCTAAAGGGTAGGATGTCCGGAGGGTTCACACACGGGGGCAAAGCGGCAGATACAGGCGCCAGCTGCGCCCCTTGAACACAGACCACGGCGACAGCGGCATACTAATGGAGATTACGGACTAATACTTTGATTGGCTTATAGGCCTGACTGTAACGTGCTGATGCAATTTATTTTCCATTTCGCAAATTTGTAGCCAAATAGCTTGCAAAGTGGCCATTGTTTGCCAATCATGTCAAGCAACATCAGAAAGCCTTCACGCCTGGATCGCAAGCCGAAACGACGCGTATTTGTCTAGCGTGGGCGATAACCATGGTGCTATCTTCTT